CCAATACCTCTGGCCCCAGACTTTTCTGTGGAAAACTTACAGGCCAGTGGAGAGTGACATGACATGTTTAAAGTGCTGAAGAAAAATAACTTTTACCCTTTGGGCTCCTCCTACCCTTAAGTCAACAGGCTAAGAAGGGAGTAACAGTGTTGGCTGGGTAATTGACCAGGACTATCAAGATGAAATCAGTCTGCTATTCCAGAATGGAGGTAAGAGAGTATGTGTGGAATACAGAAGATCCATTAGGGTGTCTCTTAGTAGTACCATGCCCTGTGATTAAGGTCAAAGGGAACTACAGCAGCCCAATCCAGGCAGGACTATAAATGACCCAGACTCTTCAGCAGTGAAAGTTTTGGTCACTCCACAAGGAAAAAAAAACCCAACCTGTTGAGATGCTTGCCAAAGGCAAAGGGAATACTGAATGGGTAGTAGAGGAATGTAGTCATCAATAGTAGTTATGACCACATGGCCAGATGCAGAAACGGGGACTGTAATTGTCATGAGTGTTTCCTCCTTTGTTAAAAGCATGTTTGTGCATGTATACACTTGTACTAAGAAAATACTTCATAGTATTTCCTTTTTCCTTTATCATGTGACGTAAGATTTATTGACTTCATATCAGCATTTAAGTGCTGTTAACTCTATGTAATAGCATTTGAGTTGGGGACTTGTGCATTTCCAGTTGTACAAAGGATAGTTGTATTGTTAGGCATAATTTTGACCTTGTTATTGTCTTTATTTGAAAATTATGTCTGATCTCAGGAGATGTATATGGGTTCAAGTTGACAAGGGGTGGACTTGTGATGATTACTACTGAGGGTCAACTTGATTGGATTGAAGAATGCAAAGTTGATTGTGGATATGCCTCTCTGAGAGTGTTGCCGAAGGAGATTAACATTTGAGTCAGTGGGCTGGGAAAGTCAGACTCACCCTTACTCTGAGTGGGCATAATCAGCTGCCAGCAAGGCTAGAATGTAAAGCAGGCAGAAGAGAATCTGAAAAGACTAGACTGGCTTAGCCTCCCAGCCTACATCTTTCTCCTGTGCTGGATGCTTCCTACCCTCAAATATTGGATTACAAGTTCTTCATCTTTGGAACTCAGACTGGCTTCCTTGTTCCTCAGCTTGTAGATGACCTATTGTCTGACCTTGTGATCATGTGAGTTGAATACTCCTTAAGAAACTCTCTCCCTCTCTCTCTCTCTATATATATACACACATATACACAAAAATTTTTGTATGTATATATAAAATACATACATATTTTTTCTAGAAAATATATGTACATGTATATATATATATTTATATGTAATAGGATAATATATATATATATCCTATTAGCTCTGTCCCTCTAGAAAACCCTAATACACTAGGTATTTTATTTTTTGTGTGGTAATTGTGAATGGGATTGCATTCCTTCAACTTGACTGTTGGTTTATAGGAGTGCCAATAATTTTTGCACATTAATATTTTATCCTGAGACTTGACTTTAGTTGTTTATCAGCTTAAGAACCTTTTGGGCTGAGACTATGGGATTTTCTAAATATAGGGTCATGTCATCTGCAAACAGGGACAGCTTGACTTTCTCTCTATTTAGATGCTTTTTATTTTATTCTGATTGTTGTTTTGTTCTGTCTTGCTTGATTTTCCGGCCCGGGCTTCTAATACTGTGTTGAATAGAAGTCATGAGAGAAGGGACCCTTGTCTTGTACTGGTTTTCAAGGGGAATGTTTCCAGTTTTTGCCCTTCAGCATGTTGGCTGTGGGTGTGTCATAGATGGCTTTTATGATTTTGAGGTATGTTCTGTTAATAACTAGCTTGTTGAGAGATTTTTAACATGAAGCAGTGTTGAATTTTATTGAAAGACTTTTCTGCATCTGTTGAAATAATCATGTGGATTTTTCTTTAGTTTTATGTGATAAATCACATTTACTGATTTGCATATGTTAAACCAACCTTGCATCCAAGGGATAAAGCCTGCATGGTTGTGGTGGATTAGCTTATTGAGGTGCTGCTGGAGTCAGTTTGCAAGCATTTTGTTGAGGATTTTTTGCATCCATGTTCATCAAAATATTGATGTGGAATTTTTGTTATTTTTTTTTGTGTCTCTGTCAGGCCTTGGTATCGGTATGATGCTGGCCTTGTAGGATGAGTTGAATGGGGAGTCTCTGCTCATCAATGTTTTGGAATAGTTTTAGTAGAAAATGTACCAGCTTTTCTTTGTATATCTGGTAGAATTCAGCTATGAATCCTTCTTATCCTGGGCCTTTTTTGGTGGGTTGTTTTTTACTGATTCAATTTTAGAGCTTGTTATTGGTCTGTACAGGGAATTAATTTTTTCCTTGCACCAAATTATTTTGAGTCGTTCACTGAGAACTGGTAATAGTTTCAAGAAGGTTGTATATCTTAAATAATGAAACTTTAGCCATTTGGCACAGTGTCTGAAATTTTATCATTACATCATAAAATCACTATATCATTAAAATATTTTAACAGTTCTCTAAATATATAATTAATATTTATTTATTCATTAAATATTTAATATTCTAATAGTATTTATCATACTTAATAACCTTTATTATGAGTTCATCTTAAATGGTACTTTATCATTAGTATAAAGTATTTTTTTGAGAGTTTATAGATATCTCACTAAATAAAATAAGGAGTATGACTTTAATACAGTCATCATTGCCTAGTAGGCCCTTGATAAAGGATTAAAGAAGCCATAGGAGCTGTCAAAAATATATTATTAATTTAAAGAAATTTACATAAGTGGGTGTTGTTTTACCAGTGTTCATACTAATAATATGTAAGGTATAAACTTTAAATGAATCTTTGGTTTTCTAGATGATTTTCTGTGGGATTTTATTTTATTACATTGTTCTATTGCAGTGAGAAAATATGATTGCAATGTACTTTTGAAGTAAGTTGCAGGTGAATCTTTCTAGGATTTAAACAACATAGTAAATGTTATGTCAATCATTTCTCTGTCTAGTAAGTTATTTTATTGTCTCCAGTCTACATAAATGTTCCCACATTATTTTCTAAGCTTTTTTGAGGCCCAAGATCTTTGAATATTAGAGATGAAACAAAAAAGAACATCTGAAGTCCTGCTTATAAACACTTCTCTATTATGTAACAAAATAGGAGGACATTGTTCATCACGTTGGTGCAAACATAATTGAAGTTTTTGCATTGTTGAGATTTGCCAATTGATATTGGAAAACATTCTTAAGCAAATGTAGTTATGTTATACATCATTTTAATGCACATTTTCATTTTATTATATTTTTGCTAATGACATTACTTGCTGTTTATTTTATATTTATTTTAGACTATAGAAATAATGTTAGAAAGCAAATTTTTCTTGTTTGTGTTCAAAATGTGTTGTAAAGCAGCAGAGACAACTCGCAACACATTTGGGCCAGGAACTGCTAAAGAACGTTTTGCAAAGGAGATGAGGACCCTGAAGATGAGGAGTCTAGTGGCCGGCTGTTGGAAGTTGTCAACAACTAATTGAGAGCAATTATTGAAGCTGATTGATCCTCTTAGACCTACATGAGACAGTTGCTAAAAACTCAACGTTGACCATTTTATGGTTGTTCAGCATTTGAAGCAAATTGGAAAGATGAGAAAGCTTGATAAGTAGGTGCCTCATGAACTGAGTGAAAATCTAAAAAAATATTTATTTTGAAGTGTTGTGTCCTGTCTTATTCTATGAAACAGCAACAAACTATTTCTCCATTGGATTGTGATGTGTGACAAAAAGTGGATTTTATACTACTGGCAATGACCAGCCCAATGATTGGACTAAGAAGAAGCTCCAGAGCACTTTCCAAATGTAAACTTGTACCAAAAAAAAAAAAATGGTTGTGGTCAATGTTTAGTGGTCTGCTGCTGGTCTGATCCACTATAGCTTTCTAAATCCTGGTGAAACCATTACATCTGGGAAGAATGCTCAGCAAATTAATGCGATGCACAGAAAACAGCAAAGGCTGCAGCCGGCACTAGTCACAAAAAAGGCCCAATTCCCCACGACAATGCCTGACTGGATGTCACACAATCAATGCTTTAAAAGTTAAATGAATTGTGCTATGAAGTTGTGCCTAATTTGTCATATTAACCCGGCCATATTCACCTGACCTCTCACCAACTAACTACCACTTCTTCAAGTATCTTGGCAACTTTTTGCAGGGAAAACGTTTCCACAACCAGCAGGTTACAGAAAATGCTTTCCAAGAGTTCATTGAATCCTGACACGGATTTTTATGTTACAGGAATGAACAAACTTATTTCTCTTTGGCAAAAATTTGTTGATCCTAATGTTTCCTATTTTGATTAATAAAGATGTGCTGGAGCCTAGTTATAATGATTTATTATCACACCTACTTTTACACCAACCTAATAAAATACTACAAAATATGTTTTGACTATATTGTGTTGTGTGTCTTATTTGCAGATCTGATGACTAGAGTGAGATACTCCCCATAAATTTTGAAAAATATTAATTAATTGATTAATTTAAAATATTTGCTGAGTTAAACTTCAGAATAAATATATTTCATAGAGGTCAAAAAAGAATATAAAAATTACTAGACAGAGAACCTAGCAGTTAGTCACAAAGTAAGATTGACAACTGATTATTTTAATATGACTATGGTTACAGTTATTAGTTATAGCTAGCATTAGTACACTCAAGGAATCGTAAATGTCTAATTCCAAATGTTCGTATGGCAAAGATGCAAACACATTTCAGCTAGTATAATGTAGTCTGGTGGATGGATTTGTTTGCTCCTGCAAAAAGTTTTAAAACTTATTGTATTCTCCATTTGTTTGAATACTTTGGAGGAGGAGGGATATTGACCATGGTTCCAAAGATGGCTATTCTTGGGCCTGCAAAGGTTTCTAAATACTCCAAATACTCTCTACCTCGTAGGATTATCAAACATACCCTACTGTCTTACAGCTGATCAGTTGAAATATTAATTTTTTAAATTTCAGAATGGCTCCAGAGGCTTTTGAGTTTGTATGGCACTTCACAGCAGGACTCTCCCTAAGGTAAGATGCTTATGTCACTTAACATTTAACCCCTTTAACTTCTCTCATAATGATTCTTTGTTTACCAAGATGTATTCCAATTTTATTCTGCCTGAAGAGTAAACATTGCTTGTGTGTAATTACAGGCTTCTGGCATGTGCAACAGGTTATTCTAAGTTAGTCCCAATTATGTTTTTGCTTCCTCATACCTATATCTGTGTAGGGCAGAATATTTCTTGGTTCACTATACCTTGGGTTTTCTGATCTGGAAAATTACGATTTTGTTTGAGAGCTGATAGTTATGTTACTGTAAATTAATACATATGTACTGTGATATATTTTTTTCATTAGTATGAGTCATTGCTTCAGGAACAAGTCATCTCTGGGAAAATAAAAATTAAAAAAAAAAGTTCTTTAGCTAGGTCTTCAAAGCAGAGAGCTAGATATGATCTTGGCTCCTTTATGTGACATTACTGCCTTACAAGTTTTTGCAAGTGTGACATAATTTCTACTTAAAATAAAATAATAAGTTGTTATACTTTCACACTGATAAAGCTTAAAAAGATATAACGGCTTGACATGGAAAAGGACATTGTATTGGAATAGTGTGCATGATGAAGCTATGGAATAAGATGCTTTCTAAGTGAACTTTTCTACAGACCCCAGATACCACATCTATGGCAGATTTCTATATACCAATAAGACGAATCTTTTAAGTAAAAATAAGATTTGCATTTTATATTTTTTAAGGCTGATGAATAAACATGTGAGCAGCCTATGGTATTTAGGAAACATACTGTGAGATAATACACAAAATGTAAACAATAAAAGAAATATGGCGGCTATAAATAAAAGCCAGAAATAAAGTGAAATGTTTCCCCTCTTAATAGTTTCTGTAGGAACAAGCCCTCTATTTTCCCAAGTATTGGTCGAGTCAAACACAATTTGAAAATCTCTGTCTCTAAAGAAATGTGTTTCAATTACAAGAAATTTCAGTTACTGAATCTGGTAAGAATATCAATTGTGGTGCCTCACCAAAGGAAATATCACAATGAAATCCATTAGTCCTTGCTTGTATAAAAAACAAATTACTGATAAAAAGCAGTAACTTAGTGTAATTACGCCTCAGTTTCTATTCAAGCATCCTTTCTCTTAACTAAATTTCTTACATACAAGGAAAACTAAAAATCACAATACAGGCAAATAATACTAACATTATTGAGTAGTTTTGAATATAAATATTTCAGAAAAATATTTTCAACTTGAGTGAATTTTCATCCATTAGTACTTATAATTTTGTTAAGTGAAAATAGGGCCATGTTCATGAAAGATACAGAGAAAAGAGTATATCCTTTACCTTTTAAATGAAAAAAACCTATCGAATGAAAAAATGTGCTACATAAAAATAGTGTAACTTTTAATTGTTTTCCATTTAAATCCTTGAAGAGAATTTTTTAAACTCTGGGCTTCTACTTTAACTATTAAAAATAATAAAAATGGGAGACATAATGAGCGTAAGCATAAAGAGAGTTCATCAACATTTCTCTTACAGAAATAATTTCCTGTACTAGGAAAATACTCATCTAAGAGAAAGATCAGGGAAATAAATGTGAGAGCTAAACAAAACATACAATGGTTATTTTGACTTAGATTTGGTAAAAGAGAATATAATTGGGGTTTATTTATTCATATATTCATTAATCTAAAAATGTTTACTGAAAACGATTGTGTTCAAGCAGTAAGTCTGAACCGGGAATATATCACGTTATTCAAAATTAGGTGAATAAGTGTTTGTTCATTAAAACTATTCAATAAACATTTATTGAATACATATGTTAGTTAAAGAGTCATGTAACATTAAGGATACAGATAACTTTTTTCTTAAGGATCCCATACTTCATAAGATTTTGGTATTACAAAATGGTAAATGCTATGTTGGAAGAATGCACAAAAATTATTAAAGCACAAAGGAAATAAATTTCACCCAGAGAAGTTGTATTGAATAGTAAAATAGAGTAAGAGATTAAAAGATGAAATATACCAGTATTTGTTTATAAATTAATTTTCCACATATTTAAACTAATATGCTTATTAAGTATACTACCATCACTGAAACACACAAATAAAACTAATAACACTGTTTAGTTAAACAAAATTTTGAAAGAGAGAAGACAGTTGTAAAACATGAAAACAGAAAGGTGAGTTTTTGCTTTCAGCCCTGACGCATAAGGAAAAGAGGTCACTTCCATTCTTTACAGCAAGAAAAAATAGGAACAAACTGACATCAATGGCTTTTCTTAAACCTAACAGAAAAGGTGATCACAGGCCAAACCAACACCCTGAAATTTAGAGAGAAATGCCAAGTCAGAGAACCACAGTTGAGATCATCTTACTTTGATAAGAAACTGCTGGGGCCATAGATGGAAGGCATGTTAAAGTGGCAATTTTGATAAAAATATGATTATTTAAATAAACCAGATAAATTTCCCTAAAGGTAAACCACCAAAACATAGACAAGATAAATATATAATCTGAATGAAACCAAGTCTGTTAATGACATTGAATCAATAATTAGTATCTTTTTAAAGCGCCAGTCTTAGGTGGTTTTTCTGATGAATTTTACCATACATATAAGGAAAAATGACAACCATTCACCATATTTTGCAGAATATACAAGCAAAACAAACAAACAAACAAATATAAACAAAAACACTTCCTACTCTTATAAATAAGGTCAGCATTGCCCTAATGCCAAAACTGTATAAAGTCATAAAAAGGAAACTACAGATCAATATTTCTCATAAATATATATTTTAATATTTTCTAAAAATAATGATACTTAGCTATATAGAATGGTTTAATAAGAATCATAAACTGCAGACAATTATTCCAGGTATGTGAGGCTGGCTCAACATTTTAAAATCAATTATGTAATATAGCAAAACAAACTAAAAGAAAAAACATATGATCATATCAGTCAATGCAGAAAAAGCATTTGAGAAAGTTTGATAAAATTTTTAATAAAAACTCAGCTAATTAGGAAAAGAGGAGAATATTCTCAACTTGACAAAAACATCTGCAGAAGTTATACTGCTATCATCATGCTTAATGGTGAGGAACTGAATGCTTTCCACCTAAGATCAAGAAGAAATCAAGGAGGTGCCCTCTCTTTATTTCTATTCAACTTCATACTAGAAGTCTTCCCTAGTTTAAGAAGAAAAGTATATATTGTGTATGTTTGTATGTGAATGTACATGTGAGTATATATATGCATATGTATAGGTACTTCTTAAAACTAGCAAGGTCATCAGAAACAAAGATACGTATGAGAAACTGCCACAAACAAAAAGAGCTATATAATTTGCTAAGGTTGGCATAACAAAATACCACAAGCTGAACAGCAATAGGAGAAATTCATTTTTTCACAGTTCTGGAGGCAAGAAGTCCTAAGGTGTCAATAGGGTTGGGTCTTCTGAGGGAAGTTCTGGAGGCTACAAGTCCTAGATTAAGAAATCAACAGGGTTGGCTCTTCTGAGAATCTGTTTCAGTTTCTGACACTCTTCTATGTTAAACTTTGACTTCTAAAAACATTACCCTGATCTCAGCCTTCCTCTTCATATGGCATTCTCTGTATCTGTCTTCAGATTCCCTCTTTCTATAAGGACATTAGTCATGTTGGATTAAAGCCCTCCTAATCATTTTGTTTTAACTTGATAACCTCTTCAAATACTTTATTTCCAAATAAAGTCACATTCCAAATTACTGGGTGTTAGGTAGGACTCTAAAATATCTTTTTTTTTGAGGGAACCCAATTCAACCTATTTCAGGAAGTTAAGGATACATGATAACTAAGTTAACATTTTATATTGACTGGGGTCTTAGAATATTTAATGAACATTAGGTTAAAAACTAAAGAAATATCTGCAAATTATAGATTTGACTTAATAATAAAGTATGAATACTGGTTCATTAATTGTAACAAACATACTATACTGATGCAAGATATTTATTATAGGAAAAAGTTTGTGTGAGATATATAGAAACTCTATACTATCTTTTCAGTTTTTTGGAAACCTAAAACTTTTAAAAAATAAGTTATACTCAAAATATGTGAATAATATATGCAAATCCTGAATGAGTTCAATTGTTATATTTACCTCAAATATCAAAAATATCACTAATCCAGAAACTAAAGCCAAATCACAGATAACAAGTTAAGCAGGACTAGGTTTTGATATAAAATATTTGACCTCAATGCTTGATGACTGAAGTGATACAAAATGATTTATCTGACATTACTACAAATTTGTAGATTTTTTTTTGCAGTCCTAACTTAATAATGCCTTAAAATATGACAGGAAATCTAATAAAATAATATTTTTTTATTTTTAGAGGTGTCCACTAATTAGGATATTTAATTCCAGAAATAAAACTTGGACTTCAAAGGACAACTATTCATTACTTCTAATGCACTGAAAAGTAATAATAACTTGCTAAGAATGCTATCAGTGCTTTTAAAGAGACAATTTCTACATTTTAAAATTTTTATTTATTTATTTATTTATTTTTATTGTACTTTGGGCTCTGGGGTACATGTGCACTTCCTGCATCCTGTAGGATTGTTGCATATGTACATACATGCCATGGTGGTTTGCTGTCTCCATTCCCTGCCCCCACCCCTGTCGCTTACATCAGGCATTTCTCCTGGTGCTATCCCTCCCTATCCTCCCCGCCCCTAGCTGTCCCTCTCCTTCCCTCCCCTCCACACCCCCCCACCTAGCCCAGTGAGTGTTGTTCCCTTCCTTGTGCTCAAGTGTTCTCATTGTTCATCACCCGCCTATGAGTGAAAACATGCAGTGTTTGGCTTTCTGCTCTTGTGTCAGTTTGCTGAGGATAATGGTTTCTAGATTCATCCATGTGTCTACAAAGGACATGAACTCATCATTTTTTAATGGCTGCATAGTATTCCATGGTGTATATGTGTCGCATTTTCTTTGTCCAGTCTATCATTGATGGGCATTTCGTTTGGTTCCAAGTCTTTGCTAGCATAAGCAGCACTGCAACGAACATACATGTGCATGTGCCTTTATAATAGAACGATTTATGATCCTTTGGATATATACACAGTAATGGGATTGCTGGGTCAAATGGAATTTATTTCTAGATCCTTGAGGAATTGCCACACTGTATTCCACAATGGTTGAACTAATTTACACTCCCACCAACAGTGTAATAGAGTTCCTTTTTCTCCACATCCTCTCCAGCATCTGTTGTCTCCAGATTTTTTAATGATCACCTTTCTAACTGGCGTGAGATGGTATCT